GGTGCTGCAAGCCTGTAATCCTGGCACTTGGGAGGCTGAGGCAGAAGGATTACCACAAATCTGAGGCCAGCCTAGGGTACACAGTGAGTTCTAGGCCAGTCTGAACATAGGGGGACCCTAACTCAAAAAACAAAACAAACAAAAAAATACAAGTAATATGGATGAACTAGACCAGCAGTTTTCAAACTTGTTGATCTCAGGACTACATGGAGTATTTTATGTGATCCATATTTATAAGTATTTATCAAGAAAATGTAAATGGAGGCATTTAAAAATATTAATTTACACTGCCTTCCTTGCAAGTGCAAGGTCCTGAGTTTGATCCCCGGTACAAAAAAAAAATTTAATTTATTTTTTAAAACTACTATGTGAATAAACATGAATAACATTTATCTTAAAATATTAACTATTTTTCAAGACAAAAAATTAATGAAGAGAGTGGTACTGTTTCACATTTTTGCAAATCTCTTTCATGTGTGGCTTAATAGACGACAGATGGATCCCCTTAACTGCTGCTGCATTCACTCAATTATGACACCATGTGTCATGGAGCCTCTGCACAGTACTGGTATAATGTACAGGTAAAATGGCAAAGACTATTATTATGAAAATTTTGACCTTATGGACCTCCTACAAGAATGTTAAGAGATCCCCAGAAATCCCTGGTGCATACTTTGAGAACTAATGAACTAGATCCACACAGAACATGAAGAAATCCCAAAAACACACTGTTCAGTGAAAATGGATAAAATGACGCCCGCAGCATGATACCATTTAAACATACAAACAATACCTGATCTTGCTTTGGTAATGTACATATTAGGACAGTGGTTACTTCTGGCAAAGACAAGAGAGGAGTAATTTCAAAATAGTTCATAAAGCCTAACGGCTGTATGCTTCAAGGCCATACAGTTTAATTGAAGTATACATCCCTTTGAATAAAACACCATTTTAAGACGCCTGGGTTTTATAAAATATTATTTAGAAAAACAATCTGACAGCAGTAAGAACAGGCTGGCCACATTCCAAATCAGATAAGGGTTGAGGATGGGGGTTATTCAGTGCCTGGGTTTGATCTGGTGCCCTAACAAGATAGGTATGCCTTAATATGAATACTCATTGCTCAAAGAACACACTGATTAAACAATTGACTCTGAATAGTTTCCAACGACATAAATTTTCTACACCCAATAACTGAGATGATTGGTTTTGAAATTACATGCCAGGTACTGCCTGTGTACAAAGTGAGAAACAGTCCCTATATTCACAGTTTATAAAAGACAAAAGTATAAATACTGTACATAGTCAAAATGTTACTGATTAAATGCTAAATTAAAGATGTCCACTCTGCTTTTTAGGACAGAGAGGTAAGAATGAGCATTGGAAAATGATGGTGCCATTAACTGAAAGAAAACAGGAGACAGGTTTTGTCTTAGGGGCTCTGGATTTTTTTTTAAATGATACAACAGTACTGGGCCTTTAAAATGTCCAGAGACATTTGACTTCAGCCATGTTGAGATGCTTTAGACACCTAGGTGGCTACCGCAAATGCCAGATGAGAAACTAGAAGAGAGGGTGGGCATGGTAAGGGACACCAAACTAAGGGAGAAGACTCCAGGGGGAAAGAAAGACAGGAATGACCTTGAGGGACAAGCCATCACAGAAGACAAAGCAGGCACAGGGTTGTGAAACACAGAACGCTTTTATGACACTCCCATTGATATACTGTGCAAGTTTTCTGACTTGGGAAATACTGGATTTAGGAATAAGTGAGCTAAAAAAACCAACAGCACTGGTGAAGATAAACCAGGTGAGGTTTTTGTAAAATAAGCAGACGTTGGACTGTTTCTAAGGCTAGGGAAAAACTCCAGCAGAGTAAGAGCTTAATAACATACACCCCCTCCTCCCCGGAGGCAGGCCAGGGCCATTTTCCTTCAGCAGGAGGAACAGGAGGAAGGGCTAGGTAGGGAGAGGAGAGGAATTACGCGGCAGGGAGGGAAACTCAACTCTTTACACCATTTTAGGGCATTCAGCCTTCTCAGTTAAGGAAAGACTGGGTGACCTGAGGGTAAGGAATTTAAGGGCCAGTTGAGTTTATAAGAAAAAGAAGTGCAACTACCAGTGGCCACAAACACAAATACAAGATTATCAGTGACAATACACAACTAAATGGGCTTGAAGTCGGGCATGGTGGAGCACTCCTGTCATCCAAGAAGCAACATGGAAAAAGAATTTGTAAAGCATCCATGAGCATGTTTTTTGAAAAAGGAAACTGGTATCTATCTTTTAAAAAACATGCAGCTATCGCGGCTTTCCTCATGATAGCCCACCCTGCTTTCTCCAGGGTGTGCTTTATCTTGCTTTTTCCACTTTTACTTGGCCCAAGTTTGGCCTGCAGAGCCAGTTTCTCCCCCTACTCTTCACTTTTACTTTCCTTTTTTTTTTGGTACTGGGGATCGAACTCAGGTCCTTCCGCCTGCCTCGCGAAACCACTGAGCTAAATCCCCGGCCCCACTTTTACTTCCTTGAATAAACTTGGCCACTGCTTTTTTAAAAATGTGCACGCACGCACGCACACACACACACACGCACGCACACGCACAGGCACACACACACACTATCCATCCAGTTGTCCAGAATTTTTTTTTCTTTTTTTTTTGGCTGTACGTACTGGAGATTGAACCCAGGTCCTTCACATTGAGTTATAACCCCATCCCTTTTTATTTTGAAACAGGGTCTCATCAAGTTGCTGAGATTGGGCTCAAACTTGCAATCTTCCTGCCTCAGCTTCCCAGGGGATGACAGATGTCTATACCATACCCAGCTTTATTTAACCATTTCTCATGGAAACTAAACTATATGTTTACCTGTCTTAATTATACAACTAAAGTCTAATCTTAATCTTGAACATCCACACCGCTGTACTTTATAGCTTCAAACAGAACTGGTTCTTCAACGTTTTTTTGTTTTTTAAAGAAGAGCATCTTTATAGCTCTTCTATATCTTTCTCAGCTGTTAAGATATAAAAACTACAAAGTTTACATTTACCCTCACCGCCTCAACAAGCACAGCGAAACTTAGCAACATGCTTCTAGTTGGCCTCATGCCTGCCCTGCTTCTAACGGTTTTCTAACCATGACCTTTAGGGTAAACAGGTCCCTTCACTCCCTTCTTGGAGCATTACCGTGACCTGTTGTAGTCTAGAAAAATGGAAAAACCGAAAGTGAAATACCTATGCTACCTCTGTCTTTAACACAAAGTTCTAATAAACACTGCCCACATGGGCCTTTAGATGAGTCAAAGATCAATCAAAACTGGAACAGGAAGGCGTGGCTTAGCAAACAGCTTTAGTCATCCTCCCAAACTGTGGTTACTTTCACCAGAGGGAAGAACACAACCTGCAAAAGGGCATCTGAAGGCCATTGTCCCCCCCCCCCCGCTTTGAGACAAGATATTGCTGCATTGCTCAGGCAGACTTTGAACTTGGAATTCTCACACTCTAGTCCCAAGTCGCTGGAATTGCAAGCACAAGCCTCCGCACCTGACCCAATGTCTTTTTAACAGTCACGCTTGAACCCACTTCTCAGCTACCTTCCAACCTACTTCTCTTCTTAGCTAGGTGCCACTGCAATCCCAGCTGAGGCAGAGGCAGAAGGATCTCAAGTTGGAGGCTAGCCTGATCAACTTAGCGTGCCCTTGTCTCAAAATTAAAAAGCTTAGCGATGTCACTCAGTAGTGGAGCGTCCCTGAGTTTGATCCCCAGCACCACAAACACACACACACACCCCTGATCTCTTGAAAAATTACCAGAGGAACACTTACAAGTTCATTTCTTATTTTAGTCAAGTAACCTGCATATGACACTAGTCCTGTTATTTCAACCACGGCAAATGAAATGTTAGATACCCATCTTTGTTTACTGTAGAAATTATAACTGAGCAAAAGGTTATTTGGGGTAAGAAATTAGGTTTTTTTAAGCAGCTGTCTAATAAAGATGGATCATTCGAAAATAGCAAAATCTCAACTTCTGAACATTCCTAGAACCGTCCTCATAATAAAATCACTGATCAACTTAATATTCGCATTAGTTCTCAACTCTGCAATTTGTCCTGGTCCCGCGGATCTGCTAAGCGACTAAAGCAGAGCTTTAATGGTGCCATCCCTCCTAGTTGAGAGCTCCCCTGCTGCCTCCCCCACTGAGCATAAGCCCTTCCACCTGGCAAGGGAGCGCTTCCGCAATCTACCTTTTCTAGTCTGAATTCCTACCATTCCCCTATCCATACCATCCACTCTAGCCAAACTGTAAATACTTGCTGTTTTCTCAAGAAGCTTCAACCTTGACATGCCCTTTCCTTACCTCCACCACTACTTAGAAGACCTACCTTTGTAACCTCAAATGTCACCTACTTCAAGAACCCTTTCCTGATACTCCAAAGGGAACCCTTCTCTGAAACCTCGGTAATCGGGCATCCCTTTCCCGCAGTGCTTACTTAGTACTAGTTCACCTTGTCTCATCTACCCTGTACCAGACACCGTGTTCTAGAACCTTCTCGATCTTTCTCTGCTCCTACCACACCATTGCCAACACTGGGCTCCGACTTCACCAGGAAAGTTGTATGGTCGAAAGTACTTCAGGGGATGGAACTGAGGTAAAACTAAACAAAGAAAATTTAAAAATCTAAACGCCATGACAGATAAACACAATGTCCTTCACTGAGAAAATAACCTCCTGCCCGTCCATCGTTCCTCAAAAAAATACTTAAAAAAAAAAAAATCACTAGCTTGAATACAGCTTTTCAAGAAAGTTGCTTCCACATAAACACAAAAGACTTCTTCACAATTTTACTCCTTCGCTTTCATGTTGTGCATTTTCCCCTATTGATCCAAACAGTAGTGAGTTTTCCATCAATTTTATTTCATTACTCAAATTAGTATACGAAGCAACGATTAGCGGAGGACAACCGCATCGAGGGTAGCCTATCAGACACGTATGACTTTACCTAAGCAAAATTAAAATTTCCTGGGGTCCCACTGCTGCCACCCGCGCCGACCGCCCTCAGCTGGCTACAGCGTCAAGGAAAGGTTCAGGGCAGGGATGAAGAGAGGCGAGATGGCTTCCAGCGCCCAGACGGCGGCGATGGCCGCCTGCGGCAGCTCAGCTGAAATGCAGCGGAAACAGCAGTCACGGGGCTGCGGAAGGCAGGGCAGGAAGGTGGCGCTGCCGCCAAACGCCTGGAACCCGAGCGCACATCATGGCGACCAGGGCAATGGCCGCCGTGGGGAGCGAGCACGCCCCTCCGCGCGCACACGTCGCCGTGCCGTGTCTCCGGTGCCCGAACGGCGCCGCCGCCCGCTCTCCCACCCCCCCTCACGGACTGTAGCGGAATTTTCTCTCCAGACACCGCCTTCAAGATGGCGGCTCCCCCTCCCGGCAGCCCCCTCAGTCGTCCCCTGCAGCAGGAGCCGAGCCGCCGCCATCTTGTCCCCCGTCCCTCCCCCCCTCGCCGATATTTACATAGCGAAAATCGGCCCGGCCGGCCTGCGGCCTTCACCTCATGCCTGCAGCCTTCATCTCCTCACTAGGCCTCGCCCCCGCGCGGTGCCCCGAGTCGGCGGCGGCACCCGCCCGAGACCCCTCCGCCGCCTCCCGGACCGCTGGGCAGCCTCCCCCAACCCCCGCCCGCTTACGGAGCGCGCCTCCGCCGCTCGGGGCAGCCGGGCTCCTCCCCGGGCCTAACTGCGGCCTCCTCGGGGCCTGCTCCGCGCAGCGCGCCACGCCGCCCGGCCTAGCGCAGGAGGGCGCCTTGCGGGCCGCCAACCAGGCCGGAACCAGGCCGCCGCGCGCGCACTAGGCCCCACGGCCGCCGCGGCGCCCGGGACTCACCGGACGGGAGTGCGAGCGGTCGGCGACGGTGCCGGCTGCTGCAGGCCGGCCTTTCTCTGGAGCACTGGGCCGGGCTCCGGCTGGTGGGGCGGGCGGAGGGAGGGAGGAGGGGCCGAGCTCGGAGCTGACAAAAAGCGGCCCAGCTCCCCGGCACGGGCCCGCCGTCAGCACGTCACGTCACCGCCCGGGAGAGAGACCCAGGAAAATGCGGAAGGATAGATGGGCCCCCTCCTCCGCCTGGTGGGTCCCCCTGGCGCCCCGGGTCGGCGCCGCTCACGCCCCGCGCCCCGGGAGCCCAGTGGCCTCGCTGCGGCGGGGTCTTCGGCGGCCTGTGTCTCCGTGACAGCGCCCCCCTTCTTTCCACCTCCTCCGCGCTCCCGCCCGCCGCCACACACGCCGCCGCCGCAGCCTCGGCAGTCAAGCGGGCGCGGGACCGCGGTCGGTAGAGCCAGCGGGGAGGCGGCGGCCCGGGCCGCCCCCAACCAGGGCCGCCGCAGCCGCCCCCGGGGGCCTCGGAGCTCTGCCGCCTCTCCGCGCGGCCCGGCCTGGGGCGGCCCTCAGCCCTCGCCGTCTCCGATCGCTTCCTGCGTCCCGGTGGCTGGACAGGGAGATAAATTTAGCAGCCCCGCCGTCCCCTGGCTTCCCGTGAAAAACAGATCCTTGCAATGGAGTCAAAGTGGATGTGCGGGCAGGGGGGACCCTAGGACAGCACCGAGCCCCTTCGTGTTTTAATAAATGTCCACAAGAAAGCTGAGCTGATTTTATGGGGGGTGAGGAAAGGTTACATCTGCACTGCGATGAGCAGGAGCTTTAGTGACATTTTCTGTTTACCTGTGTCTCGGGTTTGAGGGCCTAGGAAATGGAAGCCTGGGGTCATTGTTTCGTAAATAATGGATTTTCCACGTTCTCCCGCAAATGTCTAGGAAGTAGCGGAATAGGGTAAGGATTTATTTTTTAAGCTACATAAACAAGCTTAACGTTGAAAAAAAGGGAGAGAAGGAGGAAATTATATGATTCAATAAAACATAAAAATGTATTTTTTGTGTTTTCCTCAGTTTCAATTGTTATGCCCTATTTTCTATACTGAATTTGGGACTCAAAAAGTTCCGGGGGGGGGGAGTTAATGTCTTTACACGCATCTGAAATGGGGCATCCTGAAACAGCACTATATGCTAAAGACATTTTTAAACAATAAAGAACGCAAATTATAAAGAATATAACATACTGGTGTGGAATCTCTTCAAATACAAAGTTCCAGAATGCAAATTGACCCTTCCCTCGGACATCTTACAATCAGAAAATGCATTGACAAAGGGAAAACAGCCGGGCGTGGTGGCGCACGCTTGTGATCCCAGCACTTCGGGAAGCTGAGGCAGGAGGGCTGCAAAATGGAGCCCAACCCCGGCAGCTTAGCTCGCTAAACTTGTCCAAAATAATAAAAAAGGGGAGGGGAGCATGGGGATGTAACTCGGTCTGAAGACCCTAGGTATTGAACCCTCAGTACTGGAAAAAGGAAGAATAAAAGGGAGGGCGGTGAGGCGTGGTGGCACAAGCCTGTAATCCCACCTACTTTAGAAGCTGAGGCCAGAGGATCTCAAATTTGAGAACACACTAGGCACTTAAGTGAGACTGTCTCAAAACAAGAAAGGGTGGTGATGTAGCTCAGTACAAAGCCTTGAGTTCTGTTCCCAGTACCACACACACACAAGAAAGAAAAACCAGTGATACCATAAACAGGGTTGGTGGTACATGTCTATGATGCTAGCACTCCAGGAGGCTGAGTCAGGAGGATTGCAAATTCAAGTCCTGCATGGACCATTTAGTAACTTACCAAGACCCTGTCGCAAAAAATAAAGGGGGGGCCCGGGGATTTGGCTCAGTGGTGCCCATGTCTGCCTCGAAAGCGCAAAGTCCTGAGTTCGATACCCGATACCAAAAACAAAAAATAAAGGGGGAAAAGAGAGGAGGGCCTGAGGATGTAGCCCACTGCCAAGGCCCTAGGTTCAATCTCCCCGGGGAGGCGGGGGCGGGCGGGGGCGGGGTTAAAAGAAATCTGAGGATGTACTACATGGTAATTTTCTTCTCCAGACTTTAGCTCTCTCTTTTTTTAAGCGATTAAATTTCCTTTCAAATATGATAAATGACAACATGTCTTCATCATTTATAGAAATTCCTTCAAGCTGAAACAGTCTGTTCACAGAAAGAAAAAATAAAATTAGGCAATTATATTTCAAGAAAAAAAACGAGAAAGCCAGCTGTGGTGGTGTGTGTCTGTAGTCCCAGCTCTTCAGGAAGCTGAGGCAGGAGAATCGCAAATTTGAGGCTAGCCTGGGCAATTTATGGAGACTCCATCTCAAAATAAAAAATAAAAAGGTCTGGGATGTAGCTCAGTGGTAGAGCACTTGCCTAGCATGTGCAAGACCCTGGATTCAATCTCAGTACCGAAAATAAAGGGCACCAGGGGGTAGCTCATGTATTCACATTAATAAAATGTCAGAACACTGATAACCAGTACTTTCCAACAGCCTCTGTCTAATGCTCCTGCATACCAAGGATAGGGTCTCTCCCACCATCCATTCACCTGGGAGCAGCATGTTTAGGACACAAGCTAGCATCAGGGTTCTTGATACCACCAAATGCTTCTAAGTCTACCAGTATGAAACACTTAAGAGGGTCCAAAGAATATTAAAAAAATGATTCTTCAATTTAAAAGATTCCAAGTCGCTTAGCTGTTGATACTGTCAAACAGCCCTTCTTACTTCTTGTTGTTTTTTTGAGACAAGGTCTTGCTATATAGCCCAGACTGGCCTCGAAATTGAGGCAATGCCCCTGCCTCAGCCTCCCTAATGCTGGGATGACAGGAGTGCACTACCACACCCGGCTTTTGTATTTGTTTTGGTACCGGAAATCGAACTCCGGACTTTGCCCTTGCCAGGCAGGCACACATGCCTTCTGAGCTACAGCCCGGGCAGCTTTGTTTTGTTTTTGAGACTAGGTCTCCTTTCAGTGCTCAGGCTGGTCTGGAGCTCCTGGGCTCAAGCATTCTCCCGCTTCAGCCTCCCAAGTAGCTGGGACTGCACTCGCCCGCTGCTACACCTGGCTATACTTTTCCCAAATAAAAATAAAAGGACCGTTAACCTTGACGGAAAATAAGGGAAGGCTAATATTAATTATATCAGATAAACCTTTACTAAAGTCAACAAAGATTGTTCCATAGATGATTGCACAGATGAAGTTAATTTTTTTTTTTAAGTTTTCAAAAACAGAAAGTCACTGGGAGTGTAGCTCCCTTGGCAGAGCACTTGCCTAGCTTGTGCAAGCCCCGAATTTGATCCCTAGCATCAAAAGAAAAAAGCAGGGGAGTAATTTGTACTTCAAACCTATCTATGGAAGACAGTCTTTGTTTTCATTTTGGTTTTGGCTTTTTAAAACACAGTCTTGGTATGTAAATAGCCCAGGCTGGCCTGGGACTCCCAAGCCTCCTGCCTCAGCCTATCCTCCCAAGTGCTCAGATTATAGGTGCTGCAAGGAAGTTTTAAAGAACATTGTTAAACAGTGTTAAAAGAACAGTGATAGGGGCCTGGGATTTAGCTCAGTGGTTCCAGCACCTGCCTCGAAAGTGCAAGGTCCCGAGTTCGATCCCTGGTACAAAAAAATATAGCTTATTAACCCTAAGACCTTAGGGCATCTGAAATCACTGAAAGCATTTGGTAATCAATCAGTGGGTGATTAGGCACCGGACAGTTTGTACTTACAGACCTGCGGGCAGCCTAGCTTGTCTTGAGACTTGTGATCAGTGCTTAGAGTTAAGGACCTACTGCCAGGCGAGGTGGCACGCAGCTGTGGTCCTAAAAGCTGAGGCGGGAGGATTGCTGTGAGTTCAAGGCCAGCCTGGACTACAAGGAGAGTTGCAGACCTACAGAATCGAGGCTCAGGAAGTAATAAAGATGGCACTTACCTTGAGGAGCCTGGAGACTGGATAGCAGAATAAAAGCATTCATAAGTGCTTTCACTTTCTCAAATAAACACACAACAAAAGGACATTTTTCTCAAGAAAGATTGAGGGAACATTTCAGAAGCTCAGAAGTGTACGCTGTGAATACAAAATAGCTGCTCTCAACACAGTCAAGGGGATTTTGATGATATGGTAAAATTTATTTGTTCCTTCAAAGCTGTTAATATATATCAGATAGCTAAAAGCATCTACTCCACGGTTTTGACAGTGTTTTAATAACTTACTAAAAATCTCTGACATATTTATAGGTGCTTGAGCCAGAAGCAATACAAGGCCTTTC